TTTTCTTTTTTATTTATTTATTTATTTTTTTTTTTGTATAAGATAACTGAATTTTTAAATATCTTAAATATTATTAACTCTAACATTCAAGGTAGAAGTCGATATGTGCTCGATAAGCAACTTTTACATATTTAATTAAGTAGCTCTTAAAAAAATTTCCTGTGAATTAAATGAAAGTCTTTTGTATTTTTTGGCTACACAAACTAAAACTTGTTTATAAAATTATATTTTTTTCTTTTGTATTTGGATATACATATATACATCACTGCCAATCATGCTTGTGATTTAGCTATTGCTCACATTTTTGTTTGTATTTTATTTTGAATGAAAATTTTTCTTTTTGCGATTCAAATTGGGTAACAGGAACTTATCGATATGTTTTTAGCATAAAAATACCAAACACTATTTTATAGACTCAGTGTAGTATTTTGAATTTTTAAACTTTCAGTATTTTAGTACTAGCGACATACGGTCCCGATTTTATCAGCACATTTTTAGTTGCGTCGCAAGCGTCATAAATATATATTTGTTTAAATATTCCGATAAAGTAAACAATTCAAAACATTGAATATGCCCGCTGTGGTGCGCATAAAGCGCCGCATTGACGAAGAGCCTCATTCGGCATTCCTATTAAATGGCAAACGCCGTCGGCTGCTCAATGATGAGGACGCGCCCGCTACATCGACGGCGCCAATCGCCGATAACAAAGAGGAGCAAAATCAAGTGCTTTTAAAGTTTGCCGGCACGCTGGAGAAACAGGTGAGTGGGTGGGCAGAGCATTTGCACAGCAGGCGTGTGAGCAAGCTCAGACATGGATTACTCACAATCTCGCTGTTTTAGGACGACTGCGCCACCAAACAATTTGCTGCAGCTCGTATGAACAAAGCCATTGCCAAGGAGCTGGTGAGTCAGACTAGGGATACAGCCAAAGCCAGTGCGCTACGTCGAGATAAACAGCGGCAGGAGCAACAACAATTGGCCAGGGAGCAACGATATCGAGTGGTCAATTGCCTGCGAACGACTTTGAACGACGTGGAGGAGCAGCAGCAGGAAGAGAATGGAGGAACAGCAGCCGGTAGCAGCAACTGCAACCAGGCTCAAAGTAAGACTGACAGCAGGCAGATAACAATTGTGGACATCGAGTCCCAGCAGAGGGAACAGGAACCGCATCTTCCTCTGCTGGACCAGCAGCCCGTTGACTCGGACGTGGGCTATGTGTACGATTTGTATGTGCCGGAGAATGAGATGCAGGCGCAATATGTTGATATGTTCGATGACAACTACTTAAGGTTCGTCCTAAACACAAATGAAGAACAATTGTTGCAACTTACAAATTTCTATATGTAAACCACACAAATCACATTATCGTTTGGCTAGTCGTAAATCAATTCAATCTTTCTAAAGCTATATTTACACAAGCCCACACACACGCATACGCACACATGCATATAAATAGATATATATGTACCTTAATGTTGTCCTACCTTGTCCCTCATTTACTTATAAGCATCCGAAATCAGATTGCAAATCTTTCAATAATTTATTTGTTATTGTTAATTCGTCTGATTCTCTATATAAGGTTGTATTATCCGTTTAATTACTACAACAACTGCTACTGGTAATACAGCAACAGCAACAACAACAAGAGCATCAAGAACAACTACTGCTGCTGCTGATGCTGCACCGGATCGATGTGCCACGCCCAGCATTCCAAACGCCCCCACTTCGCACCCACACAAACGCAATCAAAATCAATCAATCAAAACGTCGCACGGCACGCAGCTCTTCCTTCAAACAAGCAACAATATCAACTTAATTAGCTTTTAGGTTCTTTCTTTTGCTTTTTGCACCTCACACACACACACACATACACATACATATACTATATATATTGTGTACATTTTGTTCATTCAGTCCCAATTTGTTGCCAGTTGCCAGTTTTTTAAGTTTCTTATTAGGTTTCAATTTAAGTCATTCCACAAATCGTGTGCTAAAGTCTAATTAAGTGCTTAGTTTTAGTTTAGCGCGGAAATCAAATAAAATATATATGTTAATCCAAATGTATAGCAGTCGTTGCCCGGTTTTGCGCGGCACACGTGTTTTTCTTCAAATACAACTTTTGACAGCTTTTCAAGGGCTAATTTGACTGAATCAGCTTTGCAGACTTAATTCCTTTGAGGGTCTATCGATGGAAATGCTTCCAAGTGTCTACTGGACTTTTATACTTTACGATTGTACTCTGTATATGATATTTTCCATTTTGTTCTGATGAGGAGTGGCTCTTTGAACAGCTAGCATTCCCAACTTGATCAAATTTATTCAAGCCCTCTTTTGGTTACTCTACAGTATTCCTTTAGATTTTGTACTCTGCGTTGTGTGTAGATCGTAAAATACTCGGTTAATTATTCAATTAGTCAACCATTCCATCAGTCAGTTATTCTATGCGTCACTCAGTTCATCATTTAATAATCCTATCATCACCGTCTATCAATCAAACTATCACGCTGTCAATCAAATCATCACAGTCAACCGATTCAGTCAATCCATCAAGTGTCGAAATATGAAAGGGGCAGTTATTTAACCATTAATGATTAATGATTTCATCTGTATACAATCAGCTGTACAATCTAATCAATCAATTTATCAATCACTAATATAACTGTATTCATTTGTAATCATTTGACACTATGGAGAAAGCTAAGCACGAACGCTTTTAATAAATGTATCTAAGCAAGCATTCATTTGAAAAGTTTATCTTTCAATCCACTAACTAGTCAGTCAATCAATCAGACATTCAGTCACCCAAGTGTTCTTGATTGACTGCATGAAAATTAACTGAATAATAGTAATTAAATAGGTCAGTTAAATAAAACTTGTTTAGTTTTTTAGTTGAAGTTAGCTAATTTAATTAAGTTAGTTTTAACTAAAACTGAACTAATTTAAATTAACTAAATAATGTAATTGCTGTGATTCAGTTAAGTTGAATAATTGAAATGCTGTTATTCAGTCAATTCCTGCTTAAAAGTTCTTTTATTTTCATTCAATCCCATCCATTAGTCAATCGTTCAGTCATTATTTAAATTCCAATTGAACAATATCCTCTCCCTTTTCAGTCTTCGGCCCGTTAACGAAGTTTTCTTCGAGGATTGCTACAACGATGATGAGGACTACGACTCGGAGGACTCGAACCAGGAGAACTACTACACGAACGACTATCCGGATGATGATGATGCCGGCGCAATGGGCTCCGACGAGGAGCTGTGCCAGCGAATGAATCGGTTTATGTTCGGTAAAGATCGTAACCCAATTAAATGAATTTCCTCTTCGAACTAAGCTAAACCTTTTCACTTGCAGATGATGACGATGATGAATTCGCCAGTGGCTCGAGCGATGCAGAGGACTACAATGAGTATCATGATCCGTATGTTCATACCATAGACACGGAATCAGCGAGCTTCGTGGATGACGTCGACTTCTTTAACGTGGAGCGCGGCAGCGCCTACGAGCGCTATAAGCGTAGAATCTTGCGGGAGGCCGAAGGACTTGACTCCTGCTCGGAAGACTCGGATGCCGATGACGCGGATGCCTACTACGAGACCGCAAGCGAACAGGACGCGGATTGAGCAGCATCTTTAAAAAATACCCTATACTCATATAATAAGATTTCTTTTAAAAGTGAAACTTTTTTAAAATATTCAAAAGGATGTCTTTAAATTAATTTAGATGAGCACTTCAAAGCAAATATACATATATATTCTATTCATACATAAATATTGATGAAAATACACTGATGTGTGCTGTGTGTGACTTGTGCTATGTCGATTTTCTGTGTAACCTCTTAACGCTGCTGCCTTTGAGTCGTGTTTGCGAGGCTTGGCGGAACATTGCGTTACCTCTCGACATTGTCCCTCTGATTTGAATATGCAACTCTGTGCGGCTAACGGTAGTTTTCCTGTTGATTGTATGAGCTTTCGTAGTCCAAGTAGAGGTGCCAAACTATCGATGGCACTATTGTCACCATCGATGGTAGGGTACTATCGAGCTACTGCACTATCGATGATTTAATGTCTCGATAGTGGACGATAATATCGTAACCAAGCAAACATTCGCACTTTTAATTTGTGGTTGCTCGTATACAAATATTTTTTTTAAGTGTAAAGTTGTAAAGTGTTGCTTTAAAATATCAATTCGTAAAAATATTTAAAAGTATCGCTTTCTTAAAAGAGGTAATTTGAAGAATGCTTAGAGCATTTTTGTCGCAGTTCTGCAGCAAGTTCCGACTGCAACAGCAAGGACAGTTTTGGTCATTTATTTGATTGCAGGTCAACCAACCAGGCGGATTTTCCATTTTGAAAATGACTGATGTTCAAATATTTATGCATCCCAGCAATGTCTGTGGAGTCGAAGAGTTTTCAGCAAGGCGAGACGAATTGTTTGTGATAGGCGGACACGGCTTAAAGAAGAAAATGCGAAGGTTTTGCTCTTTTTGAAGAAAAATCTATCGCTATATCGCAATAAAAAAACATAATCTAATCATTTTTAAGTTTTAGCTTTCAAGTCGATTCAGCTGTTATCTGAAAATGTAGTTTCACAAAATGGAAATGGTCATATATGTTCAAACTTTTAAATATAAGTGTCACTATTTTTTTTGCGACTATCGGTGGTGCTATCGACCACCATCGATGATTGGTGGAAATTACTTGTTGGGCACCTCTAAATCCAACGTTTCTTGCCAAGAGACATTTGCCAATTGCCGATTAATCGCTTGCCCGATACACGCTTTTTGTTTCCATTTGGGGAAACATCAGTTTTAAAAACTTTTACGATTCGTGTGCCTTCAATATGAAGTCGCGTCGTCATACCATTCAAACGACCAATTATTCCTAGGAGGATATGCTGTTCTTGTCGGCTTGTGGATATATCTGAGTAAATTTGAGTATTCGCCTATGGATTTTCTGCCTGCAAACCTTGACGCTAAAACTTAGGCGATCGCTCGCTTATATGCTTTAAATTTTTATTAATTATTCTATTCTGTTGATTTAAGTAAAATTATTTTTGTACTAACACCATCTTGAAGTTTAGACTTAAGTTTTATGATCTATAAGATATACTAGTCTAACTTTGCAGATGAGTACTTATAAAAAAAAACAAAATGTGAACATATATATTAATATACTATATAGTCTTTAAGGCGTTACCTATTTTGCAGAAGTCTATACAGCCCACAGTTAGTAATTATGGTATATAGAAATGCGATTCGATTGAGATGATTAGAGAATGAAATTTAGTAACAAACACATTTGCACTTCCCTGTGAAGTACAGATTAATTCAAAGCTTAACGTAATTCATGGCAGTCTAATACTAGCCGCTACTAAAAATTTTTATGGGGTATATGCCTTATATCCAAAATCTATTCTGAACTTTTCCTGCGCTTTTTATGTTTTTTCTCCTTGGAACTCTTTTTGCGTTTCTGCTTCTCCTGCTTTATAGCATCAGATAACTTTAAGTCAGACTGTGGCTCTCTGGCTGCAGGATTAGGCTTAATCACAGGCTTTGGCGCACATCCTTCCATATAAAGCAGCAGTGTCTCTTCGTCCAGTTTCTCATTATCTTTGGGCGGTTTGTAGTCTGCCACATGATCAACTCGCAGCGTGCGATCAATAATTTTGATGCCATTCAGATTGTCCACGGCGAGCACTGTGGAGCGTTGGTCCTCGTAGCACAGGAAACAGAATCCTTTTGATTTTCCCGTTTTGCTGTCGCGAACCAAATTTATGTTCACAACTTCCCCATATTGGGAGAACACGCAGATGATGTCGCCCTCTGAGAGCGTGTATGGAAACCCGGCGATAAATATCCAAGCGGAGTCCCGGTACATGTCATGCCAGCTCTTGCCACTAGGGTTTTTAAGCTCCTGCTCGCTTAATTTGAGCACATTTCGCATATTTGTTAGCGGATGACGTCGACTTCTTTAACGTGGAGCGCGGCAGCGCCTACGAGCGCTATAAGCGTAGAATCTTGCGGGAGGCCGAAGGACTTGACTCCTGCTCGGAAGACTCGGATGCCGATGACGCGGATGCCTACTACGAGACCGCAAGCGAACAGGACGCGGATTGAGCAGCATCTTTAAAAAATACCCTATACTCATATAATAAGATTTCTTTTAAAAGTGAAACTTTTTTAAAATATTCAAAAGGATGTCTTTAAATTAATTTAGATGAGCACTTCAAAGCAAATATACATATATATTCTATTCATACATAAATATTGATGAAAATACACTGATGTGTGCTGTGTGTGACTTGTGCTATGTCGATTTTCTGTGTAACCTCTTAACGCTGCTGCCTTTGAGTCGTGTTTGCGAGGCTTGGCGGAACATTGCGTTACCTCTCGACATTGTCCCTCTGATTTGAATATGCAACTCTGTGCGGCTAACGGTAGTTTTCCTGTTGATTGTATGAGCTTTCGTAGTCCAAGTAGAGGTGCCAAACTATCGATGGCACTATTGTCACCATCGATGGTAGGGTACTATCGAGCTACTGCACTATCGATGATTTAATGTCTCGATAGTGGACGATAATATCGTAACCAAGCAAACATTCGCACTTTTAATTTGTGGTTGCTCGTATACAAATATTTTTTTTAAGTGTAAAGTTGTAAAGTGTTGCTTTAAAATATCAATTCGTAAAAATATTTAAAAGTATCGCTTTCTTAAAAGAGGTAATTTGAAGAATGCTTAGAGCATTTTTGTCGCAGTTCTGCAGCAAGTTCCGACTGCAACAGCAAGGACAGTTTTGGTCATTTATTTGATTGCAGGTCAACCAACCAGGCGGATTTTCCATTTTGAAAATGACTGATGTTCAAATATTTATGCATCCCAGCAATGTCTGTGGAGTCGAAGAGTTTTCAGCAAGGCGAGACGAATTGTTTGTGATAGGCGGACACGGCTTAAAGAAGAAAATGCGAAGGTTTTGCTCTTTTTGAAGAAAAATCTATCGCTATATCGCAATAAAAAAACATAATCTAATCATTTTTAAGTTTTAGCTTTCAAGTCGATTCAGCTGTTATCTGAAAATGTAGTTTCACAAAATGGAAATGGTCATATATGTTCAAACTTTTAAATATAAGTGTCACTATTTTTTTTTGCGACTATCGGTGGTGCTATCGACCACCATCGATGATTGGTGGAAATTACTTGTTGGGCACCTCTAAATCCAACGTTTCTTGCCAAGAGACATTTGCCAATTGCCGATTAATCGCTTGCCCGATACACGCTTTTTGTTTCCATTTGGGGAAACATCAGTTTTAAAAACTTTTACGATTCGTGTGCCTTCAATATGAAGTCGCGTCGTCATACCATTCAAACGACCAATTATTCCTAGGAGGATATGCTGTTCTTGTCGGCTTGTGGATATATCTGAGTAAATTTGAGTATTCGCCTATGGATTTTCTGCCTGCAAACCTTGACGCTAAAACTTAGGCGATCGCTCGCTTATATGCTTTAAATTTTTATTAATTATTCTATTCTGTTGATTTAAGTAAAATTATTTTTGTACTAACACCATCTTGAAGTTTAGACTTAAGTTTTATGATCTATAAGATATACTAGTCTAACTTTGCAGATGAGTACTTATAAAAAAAAACAAAATGTGAACATATATATTAATATACTATATAGTCTTTAAGGCGTTACCTATTTTGCAGAAGTCTATACAGCCCACAGTTAGTAATTATGGTATATAGAAATGCGATTCGATTGAGATGATTAGAGAATGAAATTTAGTAACAAACACATTTGCACTTCCCTGTGAAGTACAGATTAATTCAAAGCTTAACGTAATTCATGGCAGTCTAATACTAGCCGCTACTAAAAATTTTTATGGGGTATATGCCTTATATCCAAAATCTATTCTGAACTTTTCCTGCGCTTTTTATGTTTTTTCTCCTTGGAACTCTTTTTGCGTTTCTGCTTCTCCTGCTTTATAGCATCAGATAACTTTAAGTCAGACTGTGGCTCTCTGGCTGCAGGATTAGGCTTAATCACAGGCTTTGGCGCACATCCTTCCATATAAAGCAGCAGTGTCTCTTCGTCCAGTTTCTCATTATCTTTGGGCGGTTTGTAGTCTGCCACATGATCAACTCGCAGCGTGCGATCAATAATTTTGATGCCATTCAGATTGTCCACGGCGAGCACTGTGGAGCGTTGGTCCTCGTAGCACAGGAAACAGAATCCTTTTGATTTTCCCGTTTTGCTGTCGCGAACCAAATTTATGTTCACAACTTCCCCATATTGGGAGAACACGCAGATGATGTCGCCCTCTGAGAGCGTGTATGGAAACCCGGCGATAAATATCCAAGCGGAGTCCCGGTACATGTCATGCCAGCTCTTGCCACTAGGGTTTTTAAGCTCCTGCTCGCTTAATTTGAGCACATTTCGCATATTTGTTAGCGGATTCATTTTAATATTTACAACTGAGGTATGACAGAGACAGTGTGCCCGTAGGAGGAGATGTCGATCAAAATATACTACTATCGCATATTATACAATCGATTACAGTAATCAAATTTGTTGTGCAACACTACACGAACGAGTAGGTATCGTTTAGCGGAACTTGGTCACACCACGCTCAGTAGTACTTTTTAGCTGGTCGTTGTCGGTTCGGTGGTCGTTCATGCGTGCGCCGTAATTTTTGTTTTCGCGTTTCCAATCGAAAACCCTGCAAAATTTTTGCTAGTGAAAACTGCTTGAAATGTTGTAATCTAATTACAATTATATGCAAGTGCTTCAATGTGCAATTAAGGTGTGTTTAATGTTTGTACAATTTATTGAATAAGCGGCTGCCGAACTAGCATGTCTGCCAATATGTATGTGAGTCCGTATGTGTGAGTGCGCTTGCTTGGCCCCTGTACTTGTGTGCGAGTGTGTGTATGTGCGTTTGTGCCAGTGTGAGTGTGTGAAAAGCAAAAGAAAAAGATATGCTGCTCACAGCAGCAGCAGCAGAAATATATTTCTTCTTCTATTTAAAAATGTGTGTCAGTGTATGTGTATTACTAAAGAAGGCATAATAAATAATAGACGCTTGTTTTTCTGCCACTCTAAAGCATTTCAAAACGCTGTCTGCATTAATTGTGTTATTGTTTTAAAATTTTCCCATCAGTGCGAATTGTGTGTCAAATACGGCAAAAACAAAAAGAAGCAAATAACCGTTACAGAGTGTTACAACAACGCCCCATTTTAAGGAGGGTCAACATCTTCCCTACCCCCCCGCAGCTTCTGTGTGCGCTGTCGTCATACGTTTTTGTCGCCTCTTACTCTCACTCTCTCCCTATCTGTTTGTCTCTCTGTGTGTGTCTCCTATTCCCACGCATGGATCGCCGCTCGCATAATGTACGCATTTTGCCTTTTGCTTTTATTGCTGCTGCTGTTGCTGCTGCTGCTGGTATGTAAAAGGGCAAATACTTGTGTATATAGATGATGTGAGAGTGTGTGTGTACGCGTATTATTTTGTTGCTTTTACACTACATTTATGTCACCCCGCTGGCCACACTTACACTCACACACACTCACACCTGAGACAACTCCACCATATGCCTGCTGCCTGCTGGTCTGTCTGCCCCCCTCCTCCTCACTCCTCACTCTTGCGCTGTCTGTCTTTCTATCTGTTTTAACACATTCCACCCCATTTCGCGCTGTAAATGCCGCCCGACTGTTTGCTCCTTCCCCTCCTCCTTGTGCTTGTTGTTCATTCCACTGTTTTTTGTTTTTGTTTTTTGCTTTTACTTGTTTTCGAGGCTTTGGCTTAGGTGTGGCCATACTTTAGTTAGTTGTGGGTTTCCTTTACACAACTCCACGGAAGTGGCAATAAAACAATTATATAAAAAAGAAAATAGTGTGTCCACGCCGTTGACATTGAACTCACCAGCAGCTCCAGTTGCGGCAACCGTTGTTCTCCTCTCTTCTCTTCCCATCAACTCTGCCTCTGCCACTGCCAGTCGCCGCGTTACTTTCCCAAAATAACGAGAAAAAATAAAATGAAAAAATCCAGCTCCTGTCGCAAAAGCCTTTCCTTTTTGTTCGCTGTTGCAAGAGTTACACTACAAAATTACCCGGGTCTTTGTGAAAATTTACTTTGCACAAGGATCAAGATGGAATAAGTTGTTTCTTATAACTTTCAACCCCTTTCAAAGACTTGTTTTAGCCTGCAGACTGTACAATAATTATAGCATATAAGCAAAACATCGAATCAGTTGAAGATCCTCACAGGGTGCACAATAAAAGAAAATGCCCTTGAAGAGTATTTGCCGTTCGACAGTGCTCAATTTTGTTTCTCTTCGATTTCTAATTGTGCTGTCTTATTTTTTCCCCATTTTCTTTCATACTATTTACATATACAAAAATATATGTATGTATATCGTTTTTTTTGGGCAAGCTTTCTCATTATGCTGTATGTTATATGTTATATTCGATATAACGTATAACAAGTACTGTTATTATTATGTGCCTCACGTCTGCTCGAGCCAAAGATTCGCGCTGCGACTGCGCACGATTATGGCACATTTTTATAGCTGCCACAGCGATGAAAACTGCCTTCAGACCGAAACGTGTCAAGTTGCCAGATAACTACAGATGCAACACATTTATATATGTATGTATATACTATATGTGTTTGTGTGTGCTTGGCTCGTGTTTGAAGCATAACGTGCGCATAGAGTTCGATTAATTCCGTTGCGCCTCGGTAGCTGTGCACTCAACTCAAACATCCGCTCACACACTCACACTCACACACACACGCCCACACTTACTACTGTTTGCTGTTGTTGTTGTCTTTTGGTTGGCATCGAATAACCCTTGCTTTAGGCCAATAACTGACCAACTGGCTGCTGCTGCTGCCGGTGCTCTGGGTAACATCTGTTTCGTTGGGGCTTACAAAAAGTCTGAAAACCTCAAGCAAAGAAGCAGCAGCAGAAAAAACTGCTGTCAAAACAAGTAAGTGTTGGTGCGCGTAAGCTGGACGTAAGCATACTCTAGAGTGTGAAATGAGGTAATATAACAGAACAATACAATAACTTGTACAAGAATTCGCCGAATATATATTTTCAATAATAATAATAAAAAGAAATAATTATAATTTTTTTAAAACAATAATAGTTTATAGTTGCTAAAATAAGTTAATGAATTAGTTAAAATTATATTAATACGAAACATATATCAAAATATTTAAGTACTTAAAATATAAAAATACTCTCTTATCCGATCATTTCTCTTATGCACTTTACGCCATGCATACCCCATTTACTATATCTTACAGGGTATATAACAAGCAAGTGCAAAAAATGACTTTACACCCGTTTTTTGCTGCTGTTATTGTTGTTGTTGCTGCTGTGGATCTTGTCTTGTTGCCAAGTTTGTTGTTACTTTTGTTGTTGTTGTTGTATTTGTATTTGTTTACACCTGTGCCTCACATTGCGCGTTTTTTGCATATTATTTATTGTTTACAGCATGTAAATTCTAGCTCTGGCCACGCCCACATTCTAAAACATTTTCGAGGGTCACATACCAGCTAAGCCCACACACACACACACACACAAACACACGCACACACTTGAGCAGACGCCACATATAAAAACAGAAACTTGTGGCGCGCGGGGTTTTTTCATCTGCGTATCAAATAATTGAGCTCAATTGACTTAAATTGAAACTGACAACTGCTGTTTGTTTGTTCTTGTTGCTGCTGTTGTTGTTGTCAGCAGTCATATGAAACAAAAAACGAATAACATAATATTTATTGTTGCTGATGATCGAGCTGATGAGTTTTTTTTTTTTTTTTTTTTTTTTTTTATGAACTGCGCCTTAGAAACAAAGTGCTGAAAATTCAATTTCAAATTCCAAATAGTTGAATAAAATTTGCAAATATTTTGTAAAACAAGCCAATAAAACACGAATCACATTTTAAACTGCACTACTTACAAATATTTAGCATATGCAAATATATCGAAATAAATGAATACTAATTTGATTACAAACAAAATTATGTTTTTATATCACACTCGAAAATCATCAAGATAACAAAAATATATAAATAATATTTTAAGACAGCTTAGAAATTTGAAAAACTGTAAAATTTTCAAGTTTGAGTAACTAAAAAAAAAAAAAAAAAAAAAAAAAAAAAATACAATAAGTTTGTTAATAAATAATTCAAGGATATGAATGAATTATCAAATTCAAATAATGCAAATAATAACAATTCCGCAATAATATAAACTTTTTGTTAAACAAGAAATGATGTAAATTCTGAATTTTAAAGCAATTTGATATACAACAAGTAAGAAGGCTCTAGTCGAGACTGCTCAACTACGAGAACCCCTGAACCCTTCGAGCAATAGCTATTTCAATCATTTTTCGAGTCTTTCTGCGTACACAAGAAACACGCACACACGCATACACACACACACATACACACGCTAGCACCCACGCATCGGCTGCAGTGTGCGCTTACTATGAGAACTGAATTCTCTAATAACTTTCCTTGTGGACATACGATCTTCATGAAACTTTTAGATCATGATTATAACAATGAAATGCGTGCACTTGCAAAAGCACAAGCCTCTATTATTTGAGGGTAAATTTTAACAAAACCCGAAATTGTATAAAATGCATATAAATATACATTAACTGGAGACTCTAGCTCCAAACATGTAATAGATATAATTTTATAACTGCTTTTCGATAAGGTTTTTTTTATCGATAAAAAAAGAACGGGATGAGTTATCGATTTTCAGTGATAAACTCGCTATCCGCGCTGTAAATACGGACATTTAAACAAAATTTGAAGTCTCTAGCTCTTATATCTTTTGAAATCGACGCGTTCATACATACATTTATGGGGTCTGCCACGCCTCCTTCTGCCTGTTACATACATTTAACAAAACCATTATACCCTGATTTCCCATTGAAAATGGGTTCAGGGTATAAAAATGTTGTTTCGTCAGTATTTATATTTTATATAATGAGATAATGCTGTAACACTAAATAGTTACAGTTAATTACTACATACATGATATTGATATGATATTGATAACATTTTATGATTCGCTTACAAAACACTTCATTCACTTTCTAAAATTAATTAAGTTTTCCAAATTTTGCTAGTGATCAGCGATAAGAATTTCTGCTATACTATTATCTATAGACTCCATACAATCACGTATTATTCAGATGTTTGCAGAGCCTACAAATGTGAACCTCATTTATCAGCTTATTTGACTTGCATGCCGAATAAGCACTATAATACATTCAATATATATAAAATATTCTATATCTCTAAGCATATGCTGTCTACTGCGAGCTACATTTTTGGCATTCAGTTCAGGTTTTCACCATGACTCATTGCATGTGACACACTATCTGGACTTTTCTTTGATAAAATCAGCATTTACAAGTGAATCACGCATATCGCTTTGATATTCAATATAGCTTGAAATCTAATA